AAATTATTTGATTAATTATTAAACTAAAAATTATAATTTTCATTAAAATACTTATGTAATGAACGGATCTGTATGTATGGACTTTCAAAACACCAGCCAGGGACATAAAGCCATTTCAAGTCTTTTCAAAGAGATGGCTCATTCAATTACAATTTACTATACTTTATTTCTATCCAGATCAATATCCGCCTAGAATAACCAGACCTTCCATAACTCCAGGTCGGTTGAATGGTACCAGACTCGTCTGGGAGGATAAAAACATGACTTGTACTTCGGCTGGCCACAGCAAGTCATTGTATAGGCCCCATACGCATTCAATACGCCGCTGCCATTCTGAATGGAAGTCGAATGCATGGGCGCACTCCCCTGATGGCATGTCTGAAGTGTCGATACCTACTTTACTCTTTTAATCTTTATGTACACTAATGGCTATTTCTCCAACTGCTCGCGATTAGTTTATTGAATATTCACTGGTTTTAATATCATAATTCAACATTGAATCCTAATTCATCCAAAAACTCAGGAATACAGTTGGGGAATTTATGTCCAATCGTGTTCGGAGGTAGTGGGTTGATATCGATGTCTGTACATCGCGAGCATGTCGATCCCTCACATTTGGTCACCATATTCACGCAAGTCACATCGATGTTTGACAGTGACTGAAAATACTTTTTATCATTATCTGGCCAAAATTTTACAAAACCTGTTAAGTTACAATTCTGAAAATTACAAACCAATGATCGTTTTCCCCTTGGGGCCGATTGAGCGACATTTACTTCTATGCAAACCATCTCGTTTATTGGTTTGATTGGAGATATGGCGACAGTTGAGCTAAAGTCAAATAAAATTAGCAAATATAACCATATCAAGGACGGGAAGCACGGTTTTAAGACCATGAAACGGATTGAAAGATGAACCTCTTTGGCTTGAGAACCACACGAAGAATCTGGTTTTGCACGGTCCACTTGTTTTTGCACGGTCCACTCGATATCGTAATTGGTAAGCCCTCTTGCGATCAGCTTCTGTTTGAGTTTTTGTAATCTGGGATTCAATTTTTTGTGGACCAATTCAGCCAACTGAAAAGCAAAATGAAGCAAATGAACCTACTCGAGTAATCATCTCAATAATTCAATTAAGTCGAGTAATATACTTCTAAAATGGTTGCTCTACTTGAATCTGTGAACTCCCTGCTGAAGATCGCTTCCTGAACTGTCGTACGATCAGATGAGCGCAGCGAAAAGGAAGGGCTACATTCCCTGTGGCAATACAGTAGTGATTCCAAACATCGAACATCGCATACACGGGACAATTCAGGCCAGGTCTAGCAAATGTTTTGCCCATTCGACAATGGGACGAGTTGATCGACTCCCATCACATAGGCGAATACGGTACGAATCATTCAGACTCTTTTCACCTTCTAAATTGTTTCTAACGAGTGGTTGAGTTGAGCATGTGGTTCGGTACCGATCATAAGAGTCTTTACTCATCTCCTTACGCTCGTATTCCTTCTCATCAAACGAGCGCTTTACAGAACCAGAAAATTCCTACTACCACACGAGGAAGGCGATCAGAATCGACCAGGCATCCTTTTTCTCCAATCCTCGAGCTTGCATAATCAGATTTGGTCCCAATCCGCCGGTTCGGCTGCTAGTGTGATTGAGCTTTTGTAGAGAAACACATCTCTCCGAAGCATGTGCGGCTTTCTAAAGAAAACCACCTAGACGAGGAGTCAGCCTATGAAAGCCAGTAAAATGTAAGCTTTCGTGCTAAATTCGTGTCATTACTATCCTCGTACCTTCAGCTCTTTGGGCTGACATTTCGACAAACAATTCAACACAACAAGTTAGTCGTTTAGGTTCTAACATTGCCGCCATCACGTAAAGGGAAAAATCGTAGACCGGAACATTTCATAAGCCAGTCTTTCGGGAATGCCTTATTATAACCCTAGCTTTTTCAGGACAGATCAAACATACCTTTTCGGGTACTTTTTTGTTGACGACTTGTGAAGCACGCTTCTGGAAATATTTTCGAAAGGCATTGAATTTCCGAAAACGGCTTGTAAAATCAATATGAAGATTAGAATTCATAGAGATTATAGGCGTAAAGGTGAAGTCATTCCATTTCAAAATAACATCGAGCTTCACATTTGAACTCTTCACTCTGAAATGGCAAACAGAGCTGTTGAAGCAATGAGAGCAGAATGAAAGTGTAACTTACAAGGGAAGTTGCAAATTACAAAAGACTCACTTACTTGATACCCCCACTTACTCCTATTCGAGATAACCATCCTCCTACATATAGCCTTGCTTGAATGGAACCACTGAACTGGACATCTTTCAACTGAAACTTTCTGATTATGCCTTGGAGCTTAAGTAGACTCTGGAATAAGCTGTGTACCCGTAAATGGATGCCGTTATTCATGTTCTCCAAACTGACTCCAGTTTTCGGAATGAAGAGGTGTTCAATATGTCCATCCCATACTTTGTACTTCAAGAACATCTTAATCTAAATAGCAAAAGAAGGTGCTGTTCCTTCGATACGCTTTGACTGCATTTCAGAGAGCAGTATTATGAATAGTACCTTCTCTTCCTTTTCAGGGATCTTGATAGATTTTACCAGTTTATTGATTAGGTCGGCTTTTGTCTCCAACAGATTCCAAATTTTTGGTGAAATCGTAAGCGTCAACGGCTCACGAATGTCCAGAGTAGCCTTTTGTTGACTGTCGCTGCAATATTATACGTTGACAAACATCGATCCGAGACCCGAACCCGTGACCATGCATATGCGAGTGCCCCTCTCGCCACTACATACACCACCTCCATCCCTTGAAAAATTATCAGGAAACTTTCGATGTATACCTGACTGAATCATAACTTATGGGTTAGTTGAGATTTAACCAGTTATTATACCTATCCCGAAGATAAGGAAAATCTGAGTGACCTGCATGAGTTAGTTCGAGAGACTTCGGGGTGCACAATCCACACAACAACGGCATTAGTTATTCTGATTGTTGAACTTACCAAATACTGGCGGCAAAGACGATAAGGATAGCTGGCGCTCTCATCCTAGACAAAAAAAGGATTCGTGAATGATAACAAACCCTACCGTTCAAACTTCTAGAGACCTAAAAGGACGGCTACGAACGACTCCGAATAGTCAAAATCAGTGCAAGCAAACAACGAACTGCGATAGCACCGAGTAAAACCGCTGTTCCCACATTGAGCGCCAGAGCGCAGGGAGGTTTTTCATTCATGCCTCAGCTCAGGAATGAGTGAGCCAATTAAAAGTTCAATTCCCACCACATTTCAGCTTTTTTTCCAAGGCCACTAACTCACCCACTCCGGTACTCCTCCCCTCCTTAAAGCTTAGGTAAAGCCTACACATGTATTCCTTTCTCAGAGGACCGTTTCTGAGCACAAGTAAGCTCTTCGGCGCTCCAGCGCTCAGTGTTGCGCAAAAGCTGTTCCCTTCTCCTCCCCCTTCCCCACTACTAGTGCGGTTGCACCATTGGCGATCGGTCTTGCTGGCAAGACCTCTGTAATTGAGCGATTCAGTTTGTAAAACGAGTTTTTGTAGGAAGACGTCATAGAGGCAGCAGTTACACCAATTAGACCCCTTATGCTTTGTTAGAAGAAGATGAGTTCATCTAGCTACCACGTCATCATAGCCTGCTACCCTTTGGGCGGCGGAGTTAGTCATTATGGAAATTTAATTTTAACGAAGGATAATGCACGTTATTTGGAGCATCCGAGCTTTTTTTCAGTCGCAATCAAAATGGCCATTCCGCCATAAAAGGTGAAAGGCTCGGACCTCAACTCGGTGATACATTCAGAGTTTAATTGTCCTATGTATTGACTTTAGGAACTCCGTAAAGTCAAGAAGTCTATCGTCGAAGCATGGCACCACATTGACCAAGAGATTATCGAAAACCTCTTTGGGACTCTGAGTGACCTATTTTGTAGGTTATTCGAAAAAGTGTCGAAATCTCCACGACTTGAATTGATTCATGGCATATACGTGAATTTCTATTATGTTCGACGCCGTTTTTTCCAAAGCGGTTTTTGGGAATACATATCATTCCACGCGAGCTTCTATGAAAGCCTCAGGAAGAACTATAATGATGTAAGGCAGTTTCTCTCAAGGGGTTCGGTCAGGGAAACTAGGTCCTCTTTGATATTAACTCCTGCAACACCACCTTTTTTGTCACAGCCTAGCAATTAATCTTGAAGTTTACTTCTGGGTGAACTCCTTCTGTGACATCTTACGGCTGGTAGTGAAGTCTGCCACCACCTACTTCATTACCCAGCTATGCTAATTTCCTTCCCCCTTCCCCTGGACGATTCCTTCGATTCCTCTTTATTGTTGCTGAGTGGTCTGTTCTTTCGAATCTGTGGCCCTGGCTCTCAAACCTCTCCAGCTTGGTCATCTAGGAATGCACAGTAACATCTAATTAATTCCTTTCACCACTACCACCTGTTGTCTCGTTCATCACCTATTCCTCAAGCAGGCGCCAGGAACGCCTCCATTCGTCCCTGTTGCAATGTGCGGCAGTTCACTGGACCGTCCTCAATCGGAGGACCAGAACTATACCCTTTCTTGCCATCCAGACCATCTCGCTTGCGGCTCAAGTAGGTAAGCAACTACCACCGGCAGAAAAGAGGAGATTGGGAGAAGTAGGCGTAATAAGAGCGCAACTTCGAAGTGTCTCGGGAGGCCAAAGATACAAAAACAGCGGATACGCTTTTTATGTATGAGCAGCACTGGGAATGGAAACAGTGTATAATGGGAAAAGCAAAGATGAAGATGACCGTCACAACTAAATGAAGTTATGGTGGACTCAGAATAGTTCAGTGGTGGGCTGTGCCATTAATAGCAACCGAAGCTTGTGAAAATCTAGCCTAGTCACAGAATCGCGGAAAATGATGTGACAATGATTTTAATAATAATAATAGATAATAATGGAATACAATTGGACATGGCGACCACATCAGGCTGTATTCACGACGACTGAATAGATACACGTTCTTCGACAAATAGACAGAATGTATTATAGAAACTAGGGAACTGATGTTGAAAGAAATCGCGAGAGCAGTAGCGAAGCAGCGTATTAACCACCTCTCTTTCCAAAGATAACTTATTTAGTCAACTCTATGATTAAAGGACATCTTCTCCAAAGATGAGGAGACTGCTGGTGAACAGGAATGTGTTTGCTGTTGGGAGGTATGGCAAAGAAGGAATTAGTGAGCAATAGGGAATTGGGGATCATACACAATGTATGCATCGATGTGGGAAAAGGATCAAGCTCCATGGAGAAGGCCATGTCTGCCGCTGAGACGTGGACTCAGTGAACTATGTTATGCCTATGTACAATAATTGTTTGAATAGTTATTTTTTTTTGGGTGCGACACAAAAGGCATATTGAAGCATTCCAGCATTGGGAGTCGTTTGTATTCTGAAGTATCGATGGGATGAATGAAGTGGAGGAGTGGACAGTGAATGGCTTGGCTGTTCAGGAAGGTGCTGATCTCTTGGAGAGACGAAGTAAATGAGTAGAGAAGACCTTTATGATTGAAAATGCCTCAGACCACCCTTACTGAGAATGAATTGAGAGGCTGAGTATTACCATGCCACCCGTACAGGTACGGGAATGCTTCAGAAAGTGGAAGAGTTAGGTAAGAGGCGCTGAACTAGAATTTCCCTCTCCCAGACCACCCATTGTACCTTCTATCTTCCTTGCAGAGCTTCTAGTCCATTCACTTCAATGATCTTGGCGAATTCCCCATTCTCTGCAGCTTCAACTCGACGTCAAGAAAATTTGAACTCCCACCACCCCCTGAGACAGTACCTCCCACGTAGCCATTCCCGTGGTCAAAGTCTCTTTGCCTAATTGAACCCTATTTTTTAGTTTTGGCAGGCAGTTTTTGAAGAGAATATGCATTTCCTGGTAACCGCCAATGGTAGTCCATTCTCCGAAATTTACTATTTTTCCAAGAGGTTCGTTACGAATCTTGAAAAAATTCTCGTTTTTGTGTGGAGGAGCCTGGACGATCGATCAGTTGATTTCAACTCAGGTGATCCGATTGCTAACTCCGGCATATCCATAGGGAACACCTAGCGCTCCTTATCGTCTGTTATTACAAGTTATCAGTTCTACAGCTGTTGGCGAGATCTTAAATAAGGCACTACGAATGACCTTACAAATCCAATAGATCTTGCCTGCTGAGTTTTGAGTGATTTCAGGAGACGTTTTCTTCATCTGCTGTCCACCATGATTGCTTCT